ATATCGTTCAAAACACCAGGCCCAGGATTCAAGCCAGGTTTGGCCATGTAGGATCTGACTCGCTTAACCACTAGGCTGTGAACAGGCCCAGTTTCCATCATTTCATGCTGTTCCTGACCAGCCTGGCAGGTGCTGGCCTCCTCAAAGCTCTCACTTCACTGAGCTTCCCTGGCCTATCTTAATCTGTCTGGGCTGCTGTAACTAAATATCCTACACTGTGTAGCTTATAACAATAGACATTTATTTCTTGTGGTTCTGGAGGCTGGGAAGTCCACACTCAGGGCACCAACAGATTCAGTGTCTAGAGAGGACCCACTTCCTGGTTTGTGGATGGCTCCTTCTCCCTGTGTCTTCACACAGTGGAAGGCACAAGGCACTCTCTGGGACCTCTTTTATATTGGCATAATCTCACATATGATAGCTCTGTGACCTAATCACATTCCAACACTCCCAATGTCCAACACCATCAACTTCAGGAATTCAATTTCAACATATGAATTTAGCAAGACACATCCAGAGTACTATCCATCTACTTTTGCAGTTTATAGGTTTGTCTTAGTCAGCCTTATGTCCCCAGAACTCAATGTCTCCCGACTCACCTATGTTTATGAAATGAGGGAATTGCTCCCTTGGGAAGACACACGATTTAAAGAAGCTCCATGTATGAGGATTTTTTATTATATACATTTACAATTTATGGCTGCTTTGTTTATCCATGATACCATAGATTCCTTCCCTAGAAATAGCTTCAGCCTGGGAATTATGAGCAAGCTACTCCTTTGTAAAACAACTCAGGAAGGCTGGCCTGCAGGAGACGAAAAGCTGTAAAATGGAAGCCTCGCATTTGGTGTACTACTCAGAGTAGTTTCTTAGAGATCTTCTGACATGTCTGGATGGAGATGTTTTGGTTTTGGTTTTGATTTTTATAAGTGTATTTATTTGTTCCATAGGTGAGAGAATAGAGACAGAGAGAGAGCATCCCCAATGGGATAGTAATGCCACGATCCACCCCCAGCCCCAGCCAGCACTGGATCATGGGCACACACGTGCCTGGCAGGTTCAGGGAGAGGTCTAGGCATGAACCTAGACTCTCTCAGAACATTGACTCTTCCTCTTGCCCACCACAATTAGAATTTGTTGGTGTTGTTGCTATGAGGTTTGTGTACTCACCAGAGACAGAGAGAGAGAGAGAACACCCTTCAGGAAGGAGGGCCACACCATAATCCCTTCTCTTCCAGTCCCCTCTTGAGATTTTGGGCATGCACACACCCATGCCTGGTGCATTTTTCAAGCTGCTACATCCAGGGCTCAAACCATGCAGTGGGACATGTGGGATCCAGAGCCAGCCCCTCCAGACCACGTACTAGCCTAGTTAGGCCCATTCATAAAACCTGGCTATGAGCACCCATTAACTCCCAGTTGGTCCTGAGCTCAGGGAGCCAGTTCGTATGTCAGGCACCCTCTCTATGTATGGCTAATTTCATGCCCGTGGAGGAAGCTAAAACATCTGTAATTATGGAAATAAATAATCAGTTTATTTGGTTCTCTCCCAGGGCCTAAAACTCCTGGGATATGTGACGGTGGGAAGGGATGAGTCTAAATGTATCTGTCCTCAAAACAGAGAGTTTAAGAAGGTGGTGATTTTCCCCTAAGCTCTTCAAGCTATATTTTACAATCAGAAATTCATTTTTAATCATGACCCAGGATATACGTGAGGGAGTCTCCAAGAGGTTCGTGAGAGGGCTAGCTTCATGGACTAGTGGTTAAGGGAACCAGATCCCACATGGCCAACCATTATCTGAATCCTGGCCCTAGTAGCTTGAAAAATGTGCCAGAATGCATGTGCGTGCTCCAAGTCATGACAGAATAGAGAAATAAAGAAGGCATATGGTCACCAACAGGGCGTGGTCTCTCTGGAGAGCACACTTGCCCACTGTCAATTAAAAACAGGTTTTTATTGGAACCAGCAGTTAGCGTAATGGCTATGTCACTGGACTCCCACGTAGTCGACCGTGGTTTGTGTCCCGGACCCGGTGGCTTAAAACTCACGCCGGGCGCATGTGCGTGCGTGCCCAAGATCCCGAGAGGAGAATGGAGGAGAAGGGATTGCGGCATGACCATCCCCCGTGGGGGGTGATTTCTTGCTTTCTGTCTCTATGTCTCTCTCTGTCTGTCTGGCGAGCGCACGCGCCCTATAGCGAAAAACGCCCAGCCGCCCTAAAGCAAAAACCCTCCAAAAAAAAAAAAAAAAAAAAACAGGTTTTTGTAATTATTTATTTTATTTATTCATTCATTTATTTTAGTTTGATGAGAAAGAAAGTGAGAAAGCAAGCCACCAGGCCCAGGACTTGAACCATGGTTGGCCATGTGGGAATGTCTAGTGTCTTAACCACCATGCCACCTGCTGGTCCCTAAAAACAGGTTTTTTTATTAAAAAAAAAATTAAGTCCCTGGGAACTGCTTATTTTGAGTAAGCTAGACTAGGAGATGACGTAATGGCTACATCACTGGACTCCCACATAGCTGACCATGGTTCAAGTCCCAGACCCAGTGACTTCAAACACACCAGACAACCTGTGCAGGTGTGCCCAAAATCCCAAGAGGAAACTGGAGGAGAAGGGATTGTGGCAAGGCCATCCACCTATGTGGGATGATTTCTTACTTTCTGTGTCTTGTCTCTCACTCTCTGTCTCTCTCTGGTGAGCACACATGCCTATAGCAAAAATCTCTCACTAAAAAAAAAGAAAAAGAAAAAGCTATGCTTGGAGTTCAGATTGTTTTTGCACCAAAATAAACTCGCCTTAATTCCATCTTTTCACGAACAGTTTTTGTTTATTTGTTTTAATTTGCTATGAGACACCCCCCTTGTGGGAGGAGCACTGCTGAGAATCCAGAAAGAGGGGAATTGGCTCTTCTGGGTCTGGGGAAAATCCCCAAGGTTGTACAAGCTGAACGCTTCATACAAAGGAATAGGATGTAGTCTGAGAATAAATGCATTGATTTAAATTATTTAAAAATAATAAGCAAGCGGGGCTAGCAGGTGGCATGGTGGTTGAGGGCACTAGACTCCCACGTGGCTAATCGCAGTTTGAGTCCTGGACCTGGCAGCTTGCTTTCTCACTTTCCCTCTCTCTCTCACTCTGTCCCCCTCTGGTAAAATTTAAATAAGTAAGTAAATAAAGTTAAATAATTCTTGAGGGAAAAAAAAGAAAGAAAGAAAATATCTAAGCATTCATTTTAAGAATGTCTAAGCCCAGGGGCTAACAGGTGTCATGGCAGGTAAAGGTGCTGGACTCCCACATGGCTGACCACAGTTCAAATCCCAGACTTGCTTTCTCACTTTCCCTCTCTCTGTCTTTCTTACTTTGTCCCTCTCTGGTCAAATTAAAATAAATAAGTAAATAAATCAATAAAGTTAAATAATGCTCTTTTTAAAAAATGAATGTTTAAGCCCAAGGATAGTAGATGCAAAAGCAAATAAAGAAGGCAGAAAGCAACCACCAGGGATCAATAGTTCTCACACCAGTTTCTACAAAGACGCATTTTGGTACAAACCTCTGAAAAATCTGTTGGGTTGTGGGAAAAGTCATGACATATTTTGTACCCAATAATATAGGGGCAGCAGGTGGCATGGTGGTTAAGGGCACTGAACTCCCACGGGGCTGACCGCAGTTCGAGTCCCAGACCTGGCAGTTTTCTTTCTCACTTTCCCACTCTCTCACTCTGTCCTTCTCTGGTCAAATTAAAATAAATAAACAAATAAAGCTAAATAAAAATAATTCTAAAACCAAAATAAAAAGGAGAAGGGGGAAAACAGATCACAGATATGAAAAACAAAGCATGGGGACAGTTACGAGCGAGGAGTTTAACACGGTGATACAATTTTATGCTGATACTGAATAAAGTCTCAGTGCAATGAATCATTTGCTGAGAAAACATAAATTACTACATTTGCCTCGAAGAGAAGTAAAAAAAATAAATAATAATGCTGACCAACAAGCATGAAAAGAAGCAAACCAGTTGCTAAGAACCGCTCCACCCAAAAGGCTTTGGGGTCAGACTGTTATCAGAGTACACGCTTTCAACAGTTCACAGAACAGAGCGTTCTTCTGAACAAGGACTGTTTCAAAACACAGGAGAAGATGCAATCCAGTCCAGGTGAGTTTGTAAATCTAGCATAGCATCAATAGTAAATCTTACTAATAAATAAATCTTAAAAAGGATATATAACAGAAACCAGTAGGTGGCGTGGAGGTTAAGGTGACTGGATCCCACATGGCCAAGTTTGCAGTTCAAATCCCGGACCTCACAGTTGGAAAATCATGCTGGGCATGGGTGCGTGTGTGCTCAGAATCCTTAGAGGAGAATGGAGGAGAAGGGACCATGACATGGTAATTCTCCCTGGGGGGTGATTTCTCAAACTCCCTTTCCCTCTTTGTCTCCAGTGAGGGAAGGGAAGGGAAGGGAAAAGGGAAAAGGGAAAAGGGAAAAGGGAAAAGGGAAAAGGGAAGGGAAGGGAAGGGAAGGGACATAGCCATTCCACTAGGGGGGTGATTTCTCACTTTTCCTCTCATTGTCTCTGTTTCTCTCTCTCTCTGGGGAGCATGTGTGCCCTAAGACAAACACCTCATAAAAAAAGAAATTTAAAAAAAGGGAAGAAAGAAGACACCGTCTTGTCCTTGCCTGCTTGCTGTTGGGTTGTGAACACTTTGAGGTGGGACTTCTCTCTCTCTCTCTCTTTTTAAATTTTGGTTTAGGGCACTTGTGCTAACTAGAAAGAGATAGACAGAGAAAGAGAAAGCAAGAAAGCAGCCCCCGGGAGGGACAGCCACGCCACAGTCCCTTCTTTTCCAGTCTCCTCTTGTGATTTTGGGCGTGCATGCATGCACATGTGCCTGGCGTGTTCCAAATTTGGGACTCGAATCATGCAGTCAGACATATGGGATCCAGCTGCCCTAGCCACCATGCCACTAGCTGGCCCTGGAATCCTGTCTTCTTACCTCTGCATCGCCAGCTCTGTGCCTGAGACCAGCAGGTGCTTAGAAAGCTCTGACTAAGCACTAAATACAGGAAGCATCCCCTGGTAGACGCACGAAATGGACAATATTCTGACGCCAAAGCAACTGGGTTGGGGCAGCATTTAAAACCCTGATCTCTCTCTCTCTCACTTTTTCTCTCTCTCTCTCTCCTTTCCGTAACTGGCCAAAGCACACTCTGTGCCCTGCCCATCCATCAAGGTGGACACAACCATTGTGCACTTTGGTTAATTGCAAACCCAAACTGTTCCAGCAAAAAGCTGGCATCTTACAGAAAGTCGAAACAGGCCACTGGTTTTGAAAGCGCATGTGATGTGGTTTCCTGATGGGCGAAGGAACTTCGGGGAAATATTTATTGTGTCCACGAATGACATTCGAGCTATTGTCCGTGTTCCTTTTTATGAAGCCATAAAGATGGCTTTTACAGCCAGGCTGGCTGACATCTTCATCCAGTCCCCTAATGTGCACAGTCACAAGGAGCATCTTTGCGCCAATGAGTAACATTCAGCAGCGGTCAACAAAGGTTTATTGAGCGCCTGCTCTGAGCAGGGCACTGAGTAATGGGATTTGTCTCCAAAGCTTTCAAATCTGCTAAAAATATTCTCATTTTCACAAGCAGTCCAGACCAACATACATATATATATTTTTTTTCTTTCTTTTGCTTGCATCTCCTCTCTGAGGCTCCCTGGGTGAAAATGCACCTAAAGTTACCCAGAGCAATAAAAACCCTCTTCATGGACCTTCCAGATCTCCTGCAAGGTTTCGACTCCAGCTGGCTCAGGAGGGTTTGCTCATTAAATTCCATGCACAAGCTCTGTCTCTAAGCACCGGTCTCTAGCTGGGCTACACTGCAATCCATCAACCCTTGGAGACTGACCTGAGGCGAGTCCCTGAGACTGGAGGAGGTGCAGATGACCACGAGTCCTAATGCACAACCCAGTATGAGGATGAATGTTGGGGACGGTGGGTGTGTTTGTTATCCTGACTCGGTCCTTACACATCGCATGCTTGTACTGAAAAACCACACATGTTTGTACAACTCGTAGACGGCAGTTGAATGTCATAGAAAATTCACATCCTAAGGAGTCTTCAGACCAGAGGGAACCACACAACTCCTTAACCCCACTGAACCCCAGTTTCTTCACCTGCCTTTCCTCCCAGTAATGTTATGAAAATAAAATACGATCTTTTATTTCCAATTTCAGCTGCCTGGCATAGCTCAGGGCATCTAGCAGATATTCAAGAAAGGCTTAGCTGTTAGCATCGCTCCTGGCCTTTCAGTGGCCAGATCAGACACCCAGGTAGGGTGCAGAGGTCGAAGGAGAGAGAGACGAGAGGACAGACAGGCCCAGGTGGACTCAGTGACAAGCCAGGTATGGGAAAGGAGAGGAAGGGAAGGGTCAGTCAAGAAGGGCTTCTAAACTGGCCCCCATGATGAGAGAGGCGCTGTGAAGAGCCAGACTTGCTTTAAGAGTTCTTTGCAGTTCTTTGGCATAGTGTTAAGGCGCTGGACTCCCACATGGCTGAACCACAATTTGAGTCTCAGACCCAGCTGCTTGAAACTCATGCTGGGCAGGTGTACATGCGTGCCCAAAATCCCAAGAAGAGAATGTAGAAGGGATTGCAATGTGGCCATTCCCCCTGGAGGGTGATTTTTCACTTTCTGTCTCTCTGTGTCTCTGGCAAGCGAACGCGCTCTAAAGCAAGAAAGATTCTCTCTCTAAAAGAATTTTTTTTCAATAAAAGATTTTGTTCTGTCCATTCTAACTTCTGTCCTATCTTGTCACTTTCTTCACTCATCAAATTCTGCACCCCGCGGGACTAGTAGTTAGCGTAATGGCTATGTCACTGAACTCCCATGTAGTAGACTGTTGTTCGAGTCCCGGATCTGGTGGCTTAAACTCACACTGGGCACGTGTGCAAGTGTGCCCAAGATCCCGAGAGGAGAATGGAGGAGAAGGGATTGAAGCATGGCCATCCCCCCTGGGGGGGGGTGATTTCTTGCTCTCTGTCTCTCTGGCGAGTGCACTCACCCTATAGTAAAACAATAAATAAATAAAAGAAAAAGAAATTCTGCACCCCCTTAAGATCCCAGCATTTCCTCCCCCTGGAAGCCTTCCCTAGTTTAGAGGAGAAAACAATACCAGTCTGTATGTCTTGTTTGTCACTTTGTCCCATAAAGTTGGATTCCGATCCCTCCAGATGGGGCTGAATCAATTATAAGTAAGGCTAGCAGTGCTGGTAGGTAATGCAGTGCTCCATGAGGCTGGACCCATGCAGGAAGGTTGTAGGTTTGCATCCTGAAGTCTTGTGTGCACACGTGGATGGACACACACCTGTGATCAAGGCGAGCTGAGACTGGGGTAGATCGTAGCATGAATACCTTGGGGGTTTCTCTCTCTCTCTCCCTCTCTCTGATTCTCTCTGTCTCTCTTTTTTACAGAAGAGATAAAATAAAAATTAAACTTAAGGGGCCAGCAGGTGGCATGGAGGTTAAGGGCACTGAATTGCCACATGGTCAACTGAAGTTCGAGTTTTAGACCTGGCAACTTTCTTTCTCACTTCCCTTTCTCTCTCTCTCTCTCTCTGATAAAATTAGAAAATAATAACAAATAAAATGAATTAAATAGGGGTCAGTAGGTGGCATGGTGGTTAAGTGGCTGGACTCCCACATGACTGACTATGGTTCAAGTCCTGGACCTGGCAGCTTGCTTTCTCACTTTCCTTCTCTCTCTGATCAACTTCAAAAAACTAAAATAATGACAATTTTAAAAAATAACCAACGGGACCAGCAGTTAGCGTAATGGCTATGTCGCTGGACTCCCATGTAGTCGACCGCGGTTCGAGTCCCGGACCCGGTGACTTAAACTCACGCCGGGCACATGTGCGTGCATGCCCAAGATCCCAAGAGGAGAATGGAGGAGAAGGGATTGCGGCATGGCCATCCCTCCTGGGGGGTGATTTCTCGCTTTCTGTCTCTCTGTCTCTGTCTGTCTGGTGAGCGCACGCTCCCTATAGCAAAAACCTCTCAAAAAAAAAAAAAATTCTTTTTAAAAAATTAATTAAATAACTAATTCTTAAAAAATAAATTAAACTTAAAAACAAAATTGGTGGCCAGCTTGCAGTTCGATTCCCAGACCTAGTGGCTTGCTTTCTCATTCTCTCTCTCTGTCTCTGGTAAGCATGCATGCCCTATAGAAAATCTTAAAATAATAATAAAAATAAATAAAAATGAAATAATTATTTTAAAAAAATACATAGTACACTAAGGAGCATATTAGAAACACAGATTCCTGAGCCCCGGGATGGAATTTCTAATTTATCGGGTTTGCATTTTTAAATAAGAGCCCAGTGAACCAGCAGGTGGCATGGCGGTTAAGGCAGCTGAATCTCACATTACCCTGCAGTTTGAGTCTCAGGCCCAGGGACTTGAGTCTCAAATACTGAGAGGAGAATGGGGAGAAGGCATGCCAGAGTGACCATCTACCATGGGGAGTGCTTACTCATTAGATGTGTATCCAGAGGGACGTGTTAGTAATTTCCACTACGGAATTGTTGGTAAATCAACAGAACAATTTGTTAACCGTTAATAACAATGAAGTCAGTCTGTCTGGGCTTGTATGGAAAGAGCTCAAAGACCTTAAGTAAAAAAGATGAATTGCAGAACAAATGTGTGGAATACATAGATAGGATCTAAATATGTTAAAATAGAGAAATAGATAGACAGGAGAACTATAGCAATATATATTAAGACACATGCTGAATGGCTAAAGTCATGGCGCTAGCAGGTGGCACGGTGGCTAGGGGGCTGAACTCCCACCTGGCCAACCACTGTTCAAGTCCTAGACTTGGAGGCTTTCTTTCTCATTTTCCCTCTCTCTGTCTCTCCCTGGTGGATGCACATGCCCTACAGCAGAAAATAATAATAATATTATTAAATAAATAATTCTAAAATGATTATTAGAATCTTAAAAAAGATTGGGACCAGCAGTTAGCGTAATGGCTATGTCGCTGAACTCCCACATAGTCCACTGTGGGTCGAGGCCCAGACCCGATGGCTTGAACTCACGCCAGGCGCGTGTGCATGCGTGCCCAAGATCCCAAGAGGAGAATGGAGGAGAAGGGATTGCGGCGTGGCCATCTCCCCTGGGGGGTGATTTCTCACTTTCTGTCTCTCTGTCTCTCTCTGTCTTTCTGGTGAGCGCACGCGCCCTATAGCAAAAACCTCTCAGAAAAAAAAAATCTTAAAAAAGATCATTTTTAAAAGTCAATATTAAACTACAGACAAGATCAAAGCCAGGTTAAATGAACTTCTGGAATTCAAATAAGAATTTGAAAGTCAATGACAATTAATTATGAGAACTTTTTTTTTTTTTTTGGAGAGTATTTTGTTATAGGACACGTGTGCTCACCAGAATGACAGAGAGAGGCAGAGAGACCAAAAAGCAAGAAATCACCCCCCCAGGGAGGATGGCCACATTGCAATCCCTTCTCCTCCATTTTCCTCTTGGTATCTTGGGCAAACACACACACCTGGCATGAGTTTAAGCACCGGGTCCGGGACTCGAACTGCGGTAGACTACATGGAAGTCCAGTGACATGGCCATTATGCCGACTACTGGTCCTGAGAACATTATTATTATTATAAATTTAATAACCAAATTGTAAACATTTAGGTATTTTTATTATTAAAAATTTAATAACCAAATTGTAAACATTTAGGTTAAAAAATATTAATATGGCCAGCCAGTGGTATGGTGGTTAAGGCAACTAGATTCCACATAGCTGACTGCAAAGTTCAAGTCCCAGACCAGGTAACTTGAAAAACACACCAGGTCCCACGTGTGTGCATGTTCAAAATACTGAGAGCAGAATGGAGGAGAAGGAATTGCAGTGCGATCATCCCTCCAGGATTGCTTTCTTACTCCCCTCCCTGCCCCCATCTCTCTCTGTCTCTGATAAACTCACATTCCCTATAGCAAATTAAAAAGAAAAAAAAAAAAAAGTTTGTAGCAAACTAACCTGCCTTTTAAGGGTGGAGAAAAGATGGTGCAGACTCCCTCCCCT